AGTGCTCTGTTAAACAAGGCCGCATGTCAAAGGGACAGTATGAAAAGAAGAATGACAGCTTCTGCCCCTAGGCTGCTGAAATCTGTAAAAATAGCTGAATTTTTAGAAAAGCATGACAAAATCAGTTTCCTATAATCAGACCCTTGTGCAGCAAACACACTATCTCCTGGTAGAGCTACTTTCCTGCAAGACATAATGAAGAATGACTCCCTGGAGGTTCTGAGTGTCCTTCTCTTTGTCTCACCAGACGTAAGGTTCCCATGAAATATTCCCCCAGGTGAAATAAATATAGCCATGCTTCTTGCTCACTCAGAACTTGTAGATGAGGTTTTCTGGCCAAATTCCAATCTGAGTAATTAGATTCTTCCTGAATACATTATTTTGTTGTTTTAATTGGACATAGTACTCTGTTCTTCCTTTGCAGTGTGTTACTGTGCACTCTTAAAGAGATTCCAGCTACTCTGTGACTGCAGCCCCATGTTAAGAGAAACCATGCTCTAGGCATACTGGCATAAATTGTTCTGCTTCACTCCAGCACCTTTCTCAAGGTCCTCAAAGATCCGGTTCAGGTGGAGGCGGAGCTGACATAGGTGTGCATGTCTAATCCCTAGTCACACCGTGATTTTTATGCTTGTTTGTTTTGCCTTCAGATACCAAGGCTGCTGAGGCTAATGGAAAGGGACTCCTTAATTCCTAAATGTTGAAGGTACCAACAGTCTCTGAAGCAATATGCAATGTCTGTATCTGGATTCTGTTTCATGAAGATATATGTTTTACATGATGCTGGCTCATCTCTTTCATCAGTGGTAAAAGGAATATAGCCACTTACCTGCTTGAATGTGGCCTCAACAAGATTGGCTGGAAACATATTCCTGAAAAGGAACAGATAAAAGAATCATTTTTATAAATATAACTGAAAACAACTTCTGTTTACTGTGTCTTGGGTCTCCCACAATAAATTAGTTATTTACCCACCTAGAGAGCAAGGGCTGGATGGATGCAGAAGGCTGCCACTCCCTCCCACTCATGCCAGACAGCTGCACCTGACTGAGCAAGGCTCAACACAGAGACAGTTCCTCAGAATTAAAGTTTTGGGACTTGCTTCTACATACCTGGAGTGAGACCCAGGAGCTCTAGTTTCAGTTTCTGGCTCTGCCACAGTCTTCATGTTTTAACTGGGGCAACATAACTGCTATCATTCCCTTCCCCATCTAGTAGCTGGGGAGAAGAGTATTCCTTTATTCCATATTTTGTCTTGCCTACTTAGATAATGAGCTGTTCAAGACGGAGTCAGTGTTCAGGGATGTATTCCTGAGACCCCTGGGTGCTGTAATCTACTTTGGGACTTCTAAGTACTCCTGGGAGATGAGTCATAAGCTGTAGTACCTCCTGATACACTTTCACCACTAAAATTACAGCTGATAGAGACTTTGCAGTGATTTGGTCAAGAAGTTTCAAAAAGAGGATCTCATTCCTGATTAAAAGAATTGAGATTAGAGCTGTCCAGTTTCTGCTAAATTTTCTTTTAATATGGTTCTGAGACTTCCGAACAAGAGTCTGAAGCGAGGCCAACAGCTTCATCTTTGCTCACAGCTGACCTACAGAGGAAGACAATGACCATACCTGTGAGATCTGCAGAGAGACTGACAGATTTTTAATTCCAGAAAGGACTCTTGTTGTCATCTTTCCTGACTTTCTTTGTATTTCAGTCCATAACATTTCACCCAGTAATATCTGGAGCTAATTGGTAACTTCAGTTTGAGCTAGAGTACTACTATGCAGAAAGATATTCAACACTAATTTGAAATGGAGAGAACACCCTCTACAGGCTTCAGAGAGGAATCATAGTAGAGTTGGTCAAAAAAGCTAAAAAGTCCTATATTTCCATGCAGTATTTGTGAATCAAGATTTGTGTGATGATTCTAAGCAGATCATTTTCAGAACTGATTTATTTTCAGCCCGAAGCTTCTGAACCTAGAGGCAGAAGACAGTGACAATGCTATTGCAATTAAGTGCTTTCATATACATAAATTTATGCAAGGAGAAACTCCTGAATTCTGTAACCAAAAGACTTTTTATTCAAAGTCCAGCTCAAGCTCCAAGACAACACCTAAGTATATGTGAAAAGCCCATCATTCCAAAGAGAATTGCTATATATATACGAAGTTAAATGCATACTGCACTGAGACATTTTCCAGACCTGCTTTCCTCTTTGCAGCAGCAGCGTATGCCTGCTGCTAATGGAGTCACAGCAAGAGCGTGCTGCACAGCACCGGCTTAGGAAAAACAATTTTATTGCTATTTTAAGTGATCACAACGTGACATTATGGTCGCACTTAAAATTATGAGGCAGAATCTGTTTCAGTAGCATCAGGCGCGGAGAGCATTTGCTACAAAGAGATAATTAAATTTCCTTTTCAGGGTAAAGCAGAGGGAGAAGAATTTTAATTAAAGGGTAGTAGTACTGTCTGATGATTGAAACAGAAGACTGAAAATGAGGGTTGGCCTGCTGTGTGAGAACAGACAAGCCATATAGAGGCATCATTGGTCATTTGGGTAAGGCTGTTGCTTTAGGGCAACACAGACAAGTTACTACCAGGCAAGATCCAAGGCTGATGCACAGCACTTTAGTTACTCTTCAACTGTCCTGGCCTTTCCTCACCTCAGTGCAGACGAGACAGTTCACATCACCTACCCCTTGCAGCCTGATCTGCTACCAAAACAGCGTACTCTAGCTGTGCTGTACCCTGGACACGTCTCCTTCCATTTTACCAATCCTGCTTAAGAGTCTCAGGTATGATGATGGCTGTGCGCTACGGCGAGGTGATAGCAGAGCAGAGCAGCTTTGGCTGTATGAGGAAATTACCCTAAGTTAGCAAGGTTTAGTCAAATTAATGCTGTCCCTTTGTACACACTTTCATTTAATTTGAGTGATTTAGCTCGAGACACTTAAGACACTGTGTAGTAACGTGCTTAGTGATGAACAACACTCACTACACCACTGCAAGCAGTGCTGTACATTTGAGTGCTGTGCTGCCATCAACAGAGCTCTCACCCCAATTAACAACAGCACAAAGCACCGAGTTATTTCTACAAATTGTCCATAAAGCTGATGATTCTCTGGTTCAAATGTCAAATCTGCGGCCAAAGCAAGGCACAGACAACAGCTGGCTGTGCACCGCTTTCCTGTCAGATGTAGACACAACCTTCTGCCTGAGCCCTGGGGACTTGGCTGACACAGGGGACTAACTGAAGGACAGCTGGATGGAGCTGGACTTGGGAAAGACAGAGAGGATGTTTACAGGAGGGGGAAGCATTGGAGAGAAAAGATGGTTACTGTCTTATTATGCCTCATAAGGGAGTTCTGCTTCCAGATTGTTAAAGGCTTCATTAATATTAAATTGTCTTTGTTTTGAGATGTGAGATGATCAGATGAAAGGTGCTACAGGAGTGCACAGTGTTAGTGTGATGGTTGTGCTCTGAGCTGCTGAGTGAATGTGAATTATTCTGAAAGCACAGATCCACACTGAGGATTCCTGCACAGCTCTGAATATGAATGTCACAAATGAGCTGTAGCTTTACAAAGAAATATGAATTTAATTGCTGATTTCCACTTTCTCCTTTAGTTTTATAGTCTAATTAGTAGAATTAAGAACAAAGTAAGACTGTTCGAGAAAGGAATATCATATGGTTAGTGGCTAGATTAAACATTAGACAAATTTGTAGAGGCTTAAAGCATTTTGTTTCTTTATCATTCTTTATCCTGCAGGAATTACAACTACCCACTTAATACTGGATGCTGGAATTCTCCCAATATTTTTTAATATATTATGCACTGTGATCCAGTCTTTGGGACTGGCCTTACCAAAGTTACACAATTTATCTAGTGAAGGGCTGACCTGAATGTGTTTGCCAGAGCTTCGGCTTATTTTTTATTTTAAGCTGGTTTACTTGGATTGAAAAAATCCAGTATTAGCCAAAAGTTAGTTTTGTTAATTAAAAACATTCAAGAGAGCAATTCATGGATGACAACTCTAATGGACTAAAACTAAATAATGAGAAGAAAGTATCAAACTGTCACCTACAGCTGAGAGATGACTGGGAGTGTTTGCTGATTCAGTCAGGCCTCTTCAGAAACACTTGAGAAATTCTCATTTTAAGGGTACATTTTGCTGCACGTTGATATTTCCAGCCATGAGCTGGATGTTTGGCAGGGATCTCCCAGGAATGTTTCCACTGGGAGTAAGGGATTTTACTTTTTTCATGGAACTGGGATCAGAAGGGCTGGTGGGACCCTCACCACTGCCAGCCAGACTGGCTGGCCCCGGGGAGGGCAACCCACCTGTGGGTTTCTGTCCAACCAAAGCGGAGCAATGGGGAATGCTAGCTGGGGTGGGAGCTTCAGTCTAGCACAAAATCCCGACACTCTCATTTGCCCAAACATATTACAAAATTAACAGCAGGGTGTTGCAGCCTGTCGATCTCTCCTTGTGCTGCCCACCTGTCTTCCAGGCATCCAGCCTGCAATCAGATCGGCCCCTGCAGATCTCTACTAGAGATTCCGGACGAGATAAATATCTACCCACATGAATCTGGTATCAGGATCAGAAAGCGAAGCTGTCTCCCTACTCAGAACAGGCACTGCGTTTATCACCGACATATACTGAATTAAAGACACTGTCAGTACTTACGAAGTAATGATTCAAACTGAGCTACTAATTGCTGTCACCACCTATAAAAATGTTGTGTTTATTCAATTAAGAGAGCTAAGCAGATAAAATGCTTCTACATTTCCAGCATTACTTTCAGATTGCTTACAAGATACAGGGCACAAAATAATAGTGCAGGAAACTTAAAGTGATCTGGGATTCATTTCTCTAGTACAAGCAATATTGTCTCTAACCTCAGAGGCACAATTCAGCATTCCTGGAAAAAATAATTTCACATAATAATAGGAATTAAATACAGTGAGTAACATAGAGTGAGGCTGGTGTGGAACATAGATGAATTTAGGTCTAAGACAAGGATATGATTGTAAAATAGATACTGAGACATATGGTTTCTGGTTACATAAAAAACTAAGAGCTAAATACTGTCTGCCCTGAGAAAGAACATTTCCCAGAACATTTTCTGTTTCAAGAATTCTGTCAGACAGAGCAGGAGTGTTCAACACAGGCTAAAAGAGTGAACGTGCATGAAACTTCAATGTCAACTCCGTGAACCTTCTACAGACTGCGAGCTATTGAGCCACAGCTGGCACAGCGTGCCTGGCCCGCATTTGCTGTGATAGCAGCTTACACACACAAGTGACCTACTAAACACCTTCTCTGACCACATCCTGCTGTGAGGCACAGGCTGGTTCATTCTACTAGCAAATTCTGGAGCCCTTCCCTAATTCTATATGGGATAAGAGGATTCAGATGTAAGGATGTATTGAGTTAGAAATGTGCTTGTATGGCTAAGGCAACATGTGTTCTGCAATTTGGTAGCCATGGAATTTGAAGAAAATCCTGAAGACTTCTATCAAGTATAGACAGCACTTGGTCTAAGGAGTAACTCTGAGCGTGCGCTTCCCATTACACGTAGGACTACTTAGCACCTTACCACTGCCAGTAGTGAGACATCCTCTTTCCTTCTCCATCATCTTCCGGCAATAAACCTACCAATTAACACTATTTGCTTGGTTTTGCTCCTGTAGGATTCTGCTGCTTTAGGAAGCTGAGTTGTTTTAGGAAGCCACTTTTTAGCTCAGGCTGTGCCTTGGCACTGCCCCCAGGATGCGGGAGTCTTCTTGCCATCTTCAAAACGTTGGTGACTGAGAACTACAATAGCGATACAACTATCAGCACTGTTAACCTGTTTACTGCTCATA